ATTTTATGAAAATCGTTAGAGCCGTTAGGTTATATATATATATATATATATATATATATATATATATATATATATATATATATATATATATATATATATATATATTTATTATCCTATGGCTACTATATATATACATACATAATATAATAGCCATAGGATAATTGTAATGTAATAGTTATTAAATGTCATCGAGACATATTTTGTAGTTTAAAATAAAGCTTCAGTACCGCTACCGAAACTTAACTACTTACGGTACGCTATGGTAGTAACAGATAGATAAATAAATAATTCAAAGCTAATCTCACCTAGTAGTCGCAGTTAATTGTGTTCTTTGGGGTAAAATTATTATTTTATTTTCAAAATAATGTCAGGAGTGTCTTCTAAGTTTAAAAGAAAATATCTAGTGAAAACATAGACTTATGATACTACTGCATATGGACTGCGTCATTGAACAAACAAAATGACACCGACTCCTTGGTGCGAAAACGTTTATGGAGCACCAACGCGAGATCAATGTTGTCGTGATTTCAAACGCGAGCTGAAGTCGCATTACATTTTCAAAATGCCGTGGTGTATAGTAAAAATGTGTACTAATTCCGATAAAAAGGTGACTAAAAAAGGATGGAATATCTTTTTTTGGTAAGTATTACAAACATTATTTATGACGTATATTTTTAAAATTTTTAATAAATGTTTTAATTACTGTTTACTATTGATTAACTGGCCATGCCCACTTAGTAGTTTAATAAGTCGCGTAGTTTTAATTAGGTCGCATTATATGCGTGCCGTGCGTCCGTGCAGTGTTTAAACTTTTAGATATTTTGCACTATTTTGGGGCAAATCTACTTATATAGTAGGGCTTTAAGGCATTTCTTCAAGTTGGCAGGGTTTGGGATAATTTGGGGTAAAATCGAACTTCAGGTAACCCTGTTTTATACCCACCCAATGTAATTTTTTTTAAAGATTTATCGAAGGGTATATGGTCATAAGAGCTAAAAAGTGTAGAATGAAAAAGTTTTTCATTCCGTATATCAGAATAATGGTATAATATTTTACTTAGTTACATATTTATTATTCGTATGAAACTAAGAGTATATAATCTGAAAATGAAAACGTCTTATTCATCACAAAACTCAAGATTTCGAGTGAATTGAATGATGTTCAAAACTTGCAATTATGTTCTTTAAAATATTGAAAATTATGTGCACTATATAAGGCTATTTTGATCTTTTTTACTATAATTTAGGGAGTATTGCTACAGATTCTTGGGGTAAAATCAAAATCATAAGTGGAAGGAAACACTGATTCCGTGGTAGTTCATAAGTATTTAAGAGATGGCGCTGATTTATTCCATGCTTAAACAGTGTCAATTTTTTTTTCGCACGACCATATCTTGTCATTTATATTGATTAGTGAAAATAGATTGTTTCAAGATGAGTGCGAAACGGATTATTTTGTTGTGCTAAACAAAAACAATGCAGATACTTGTTTGATATGTCGTGAAAATATTATATTGAAGAAAAACAATATTTCGTGTCATTTTACCACAAAACAAATATTTCGACGAAACGTTTCCTCCTGGATCTTCTTTGAGAAATGAGAAATTGAGTTTTCGATCGAAGTGATCATTGCATTAGCAACAAAATGTTATAGTTTGTAGCATTATCCCAAGACTCCGCAGTAACTAAGGCATCATATGAAATTTCTTACATTCTTGGTGAGCATATGAAACCATTTAATAATACAGAAATTGTAAAGGAATGCTTCTATAGTGCTGCCAATACACTTTTTAATAAATTCAGTAACAAAAAGCAAATATTGTATGATATAAAAAAAACTACAGCTCTCGGATTCAACCTGTATGAGGCGTATTGAAGACATTTCTCAACTTATTTGCGATTATATATTAGTAAATCTAAGAAAGCAAATTTTTTAGCTTGACATTCGATTCCAGCACCGACATTTCAGGAACATAGCAATGCTATGTGTTTGTTAGATATTGTACAGAAAACAATTTAACACATGAAATTTGTTTTAAATTCCTACCAAGTCAAGCCTGACGCACAGATTATCTTGATACTATTTGCAATTTTTTAGAGCTGAATGAAACTGACATACAATAAAAAAAAACCTTGTCTTGGTGTGTTTTTTTATATCAATCAACCGTAATCCAGGGTTTCAAATCCCAAAAATTCAGGTATTGAATTTTTCTGTCAAGAAATTCCCAGTAGTAGTAAAGTAACGTAGTTGTCACTATTTCACACTGTGCAATGGTAATTAGTTCATTTATGTCACATATAACAAATGCTCTCTTCAACCTTGACAGCCTCTTTCGCCTAGTGGTTGTACGCACGTTACACGCAATTGCTGACAATGAACGTGGTCATTCCCCGATCTAGGCTTGGGTATAATGTATCGATATATTAATGGCAATATATCAATATTAATTTTAGAGTATCGAATTCGTATTGATTTCGATATGGTATAAAATTATTTATTTATTTAAAAAACCAAATGAAGTAACTGAAAATAATTTTACAGTCGATATGTATCGATACAATAAATATCGATAAATTTTTTTCACTTGCCCATCTCTACCCCGACCCAGCCGACCTATTCATGGAACAACTATAATAATAGTCCAGGATCCATCGCCCATTTTTGCATGTGATTACTATCAAGCTAATTTTCTGTCAGTAGCTTTATTTTGATGAGACGCCCAATAATTTCCTGTACGAAACTCTCGATTGTGGTAGCTAACAGAAGTAGCAAGGATAAAATATGTTGATTTGATCATTGTCAAATATTTATTACTAATTGAATTTTTTTTGTTAAATCTCAAGATAATTATCTAAATTATTCGAAAAATTATTTGTCCTACAAAATCTATGGTTTGATCAAAGAGTCCCCCCCCCCCCTCTATCCAATATGTATCGATAACGAGGTCATCATAAATGATTACTAACCAGCTAATTTTTTTTGTTTTTACTTAGTTAATATTTATATAATTTAACAGACATATTGTCCTACAAATTGCGTGGTACGTTATCCCGGTCCTACGCTCAAAATCCTTGATGTAAAAATAATTACTATCAAGCTGAATCGTCGTAATAGCTACGTTTCGATGAGTCGCCCAACAATTTCCTATGCGAAAATTCTCAATTGTGGTAGCTAACAGAGGTAGCAATGATAAAATATCTCGATTTGATTATTTTCAAAAATTTAAAAGAAGTTAGAAAAATTAATAATTGTCAATTTAAATTCAACAAAAAATTAACAAAAAAAAATTTGTGTCGCTTGGGTTTCTGTATTTTGCTAATACAGCTGAGTCACACCGGTACGGCGGTACGCATGCGCAGAGCATTGCTTACTCCGTATTAGGTATCCCACGTTAGTGTCGACCATAGGCCTGCAAACATTTTCTCAGTCGACCGCGTGTTTTATTTTGTCTTGAGAAATTATTTCAAGGAATGTTTTTTGTGCTGGAAAATAATTATGGAGTGTTTTTTGTGTAATTTGTTTTGTGAAAACCCTAAATTTCGAGAGAGAAAAGAGAATAAGATCTTTACTGTTTTACTTTTCGAGAGAAAAGAGAGAAAGGTGTCTTATGAAAGGTAAGTCGATCGAATATTTATTTACTTTATTTTTAAAATTATTGAAAAATAATTTATTAAGTTCATATTTTCATGTAATTATGTAAAATCGAGCATTAGCATTGAAACATTCTATTGTAGCATTGTATTATTGTTAAATTCTTTAAAAAATAATTTTTGATAGTATATTATATTTTACATATTTTCTTATTTAATTTTTTGTCATTTAAATTTATATTTTTGTATGACTATTTGACTAAATATTAATTTAATATGGAATAATTTTTTCAATATCGATGATGCTATGTGATATTTATGTAGATACTGTATTTATTTGCATGTTTCTCAAATAAACAATTTTTAATATTTTTTTTAAATAGTTTCTCATACACAGCACTGAGCCAGCTTCAACATCATCAGCGTCTCAATCTACTGGAATTATTGATTCCTCGGTATCTTTAACGTCTGCTGAAAATGTAGAACCGGACCCATTACCATGCACTTCACGGTTAGTTAATTAAATATTTTTTTTTATAACTTATTTGTATTATTTTTTTTTATATATAATTTATTTGTATTATATAATTTACTAAATTTTTTCATGTTATTACAGAGTCAGATATTACGATTGAGGAAAGTGAAATAGAAGATGACAGCGATGTTAGTAGCGAAGATTTATCAGATGAAGATGAACTTCTTTTTTTATATATATATAAATACATAAATTTTTGTACCAAGTTTATTAAAAAATAAAGTTATTTAAATTTTAGAAAAGCTTTTTTTACTTTATCTTATTTTACAGATAGAAAAACGAAAAAATGACAATTCTTGTCGGACTAATAATACATACCTGTTTTCTTGTAGGACGATGTTTCATTTGGGCAGAGAACACACTAACCTATCATGTAATATTTTTGTCCTACAGTTAGTAATGAAAAAAAATGGTCTTGTGGTATTAACAACTTCTGAGCGTAGGACCAGGATAACGTACCACGCAATTTGTAGGAAAATATGCCTGTTAAATTATAAAAATAATAACTAAGCAAAAAAAAATCAGCTGGTTAGTAATCATTTATGATGACCTAGTTATCGATACATATTGGATAGAGGGGACTCTTTGATCAAACCATTGATTTTGTAGGACAAATATTTTTTCGAATAATTTAGATAAATATCTTGAGATTTAACAAAAAATAATTCAGTTAGTAATAAATATTTGAGAATCATCAAATCAACATATTTTATCCTTGCTACTTCTGTTAGCTACCACAATCGAGAGTTTCGTATAGGAAATTATTGGGCGTCTCATCAAAATAAAGCTACTGACGGAAAATTAGCTTGATAGTAATCACGTGCAAAAATGGGCGATGGATCCTGGACTATAAGAGTCAGAGAGCGAATTCGAACCTTGGAAGTGGACCATGCGGGAACCGGGTGAGCTGGAGTCTCTCCATCGGAGTCTGAGTTGAGATACTGGAAGCCGTCCGCCATGTACACGGGTTCTTGAACCGCGTACGCTCCGGTCAAGCACGACTTCAGCGGCGTCGCTGCAACACACCAAATTACATTAATACATGTAGTTTTTGATACCCTGTATTAAATGAGTCTGTGAACGTTTACGGTTTCATTGTTTTTAAATAAATCCTTCCCGTATTCCTTAATTAACAAGGATATTACAAAACACATTTCTATAATATTTATTTTTACTAATGGTCATTAAGTGATCAAAATTCGATTGTAATTCATTAAATTTTCAGATATAATACGGTTGAAGGACGAACGAATCTGCTTGACCAGGGAAGAACCACGCTCTTACAGAATATCAGCGTAAAATAGCAGCGTAATGCTGCTGTGTTTCGTATGATGAGTGTAGAGAACCAGAGACCTTTTTTTACTGGAAATGAGGCATTCCATTTTAGTCCTTAAGGATGAGAACGCATCTACAGCTTGATTTGTAACCAAGGATAGATGTAGACGTCTAGGGGCCACAGCAACCACTTACCATCATGTGAACTGTGTGCTTGTTTGTCACCCTTTTATTCTATAAAAAAAATATTTCCAATATGAGAGGCCAATGTTCAGCAGTGGATGACTTTAATGTTGTTAATTTTAATTCAAAAAATTCTATAATAAAAACCATTAATTACAGCCTATCAATCAAAACAAGAAAAATAGTTAAACACAAGCTATACTTTCACTATAACATACAGGGTTAATTTGTAATAACCGGCTAAAGGCGATGAACTTGATTACATACAAGTTTGGGCCCGGCGTGAACAAAGTTCAAATATTTCTTATTTTGAAGATTTAAATATTTGATAAGTTTGTCAATAAATCACATAATTGCAGGACCTGGGGTTTTATTTTAATTTATGTTTTATACTATGTAGGTTATGCAGTAAAATCACTCGTTCTCATGACAAGTTGTTTAAATAAATTGAAAAGGATACAAAATAATGCAGTTTTGTAGAAATTATTAAATAAAGTAAAATAAAACTCAACCTAGTTAAATGTTTTTCTGCAATTAATTATAAAATGTCATCTAGAAAAGCAGCCAGAGGCTGTAAATTATCTGTGCTATTCCTCTCATAACTCAATTATTACATAATTGTCTTTATGTGAGCGCAGCAACCCAAAGATAAAAGCTGAGGATCAACTTAACCAAATCCACGAAAGCAAAAACACGAAATTACAAACACAGCCACATTACCAAGTTAAGTCTCCTTTGGAACAGACAATAATCAATGAACATACAACCTATTCAGTTGTTGTCAGATAATATTCAAATGTTTTTTTTAGTTTAACAATATAGCCTATTCAATCGTTTTCCAAATACATTTCTTATATTCAATATTAATATCTCCACAGATTCACCTCATGTTTCCACATTGTTTTTTTTTTAGTAATGAAGGCTATTTTATTATAAAAATAGCGTTCATTATCTATTGCCATAGAAAATACAGAAAAATATTTAAAAACGTGGTGGTTTTGGTAGGAACTTAACATCGACGGGTTGTTGCTCTTGCTTTATCGTTTAATTAATGTCTAGAAATGGATTTAGACAAGTAAAAGTGATGCGATTTTGGGTATTGTCTGCGCACGTGAACTATTAGATAGAACGACGAAACAAGTGCTTCGATGTAGATATAAACCTCAAGTTATTTTGATTGCTTAGGCGTCTTATTAACTTGAGTGGCTGTCGTCATCGACTGTCCGTTCGTTGTGTTGTCGTTAAAATCTCCCAAAAACTTCGCAAGGTGAGGCATCAGTATATTGTGATGAAAAAATCGATAAAAACGAAGATCCTAAATAAAATGAAAACATGGCTTAAAAGACAAGCGTCCAAGTCAAAATTCTTAATTAAAAAAGTTTTGTTTTTGCTATAGCAAAAGCATTAACTTTCGTTTTTCAGTTTAAAAAATGTTTTTTATGATTGTCCCAAGTACAACAGAAATAAAAACCATTTAGTAATGCTTATAATTTATCGTTTTATTACCTAAATATTTTTGTATAACTGTTCCGAACAATGTCTAACACCCAATTTCGTTCATCTCCTTTGCAGAGAAAGTTTAGAATAAGTAATATAGGCAAATGATGAAGATAAATTCATTTAAAAAATCTCAAACATTGTCCTTTCCATCTTTTAAATTCAAAATGCGAGGTAATGCATGGTTTTAACTGATTTTACTGCGCACGCACACAACGAATTAAACGAATTAAATTTTTGCCCCAACGAATGTTTTCACAGAATGCCAGCGTAAAATAGCAGCATTATAATGCTATTTCATGTGACAAGCATTCCATGTACCCACAGTGCAACATATTATGTTGTTGATTATCATACACATGTACTTTGTTTGTCAATGGATCAAAGTAGGTCACCATCAGATGGACTGTGTTCTCATTTGTAACTCATACTTCCGAATTGAACAGGAGAATGGGGGAGGGCAGCATATCCTATAACTTGAAATGTGAATAACCTATTTATTCAGATAAATATCAAGGAATTATTTTGTTAGTTTCAAAGGAAATGGCCACGAGGCTCGAAGGACCAAGAGTAGTCAATACTTACACCGAATGCCATCCATTTTCGATCTCATTTTCTGCTTTTCTAAGTATTCTTTTTGTCTCTTCTCTATCTCTTTCGCCATAATAACAGCTTCCTTTTTCATTCTGCAACCAATATAAAATGAACATATATTACAATGTACTAAAATGGTAACAGAATAGTGGTATGGTGGTGGAACTAGGTAAACGGTAAACGGTAGGTCACTTTATTATAAAACTTAAGGGACAAACAAAATTACAGTCCACCTGATTGTAAGTGGCCCCCAGCCTATGAACACTTGCAACCAACTTTAAATAAAGGCTATTGCATTGTCACTGCTGAAGACTGGAATGCCTCACAGCCTGCACCTATGCTGGCTCTCAATACGCTTCAGGCCGAAACAGCATTGAAAGCACTGCTGTTTGCCAGCAGAAATAGGCAAGAGGCTGGGACCTACCTAAATGAACTCCTAGGTAGAAAACATGTCCTGCAACCTTTTTTTATACGATAACGGTGACAAACGAGCACACAGTCCACCTGATGGTAAGTGGTTGCTGTGACCCATAGACATCTACATCTATACTCGGTTACAAATCAAAACGCAGATGCGTTATTGCCCGTGAGAACTAAGATGGAATGTCTCGTTTCCAGTAAAAAGTGTCTCCGGTTCTTTACTCACCATATGAAACAGCGTTAAGCTGCTGATTTTATGCTCGTATTCTATGAGAGCGTAGTTCTTCCCCGGTCGAGCCGACCCATTCGTGTCTATACTACAAGTTTAGTTTAGTTTACGACGGGCTGTTTTCCGCAACTTCACGTCTAAGCGCGTATTTTACGCGTGGGCAGGAATAATGTGATTATTAAAGCCATGAAATCCTCCCCGAAGAAGTTCAACAGTTCCTTGATGTTGCAAGTAACTTCGGAGAGTGATCCCGGCGTGCCGACTGCCGAGATATTTAACCCTGTATGTCCCTGTATACTACTAATATAGCTGCAGCATGGCTCTACCACCTAGGAGTGGATGGAGCCCGCGTAGCCACTAAACTGTCACTAACACGTCAATTCACACATATAAATGTCAACACGAAATGTGTTTTGACGTTACAATCGTTTCCAAATTTCGCATGAAAATTATTTAGAAAATGCCAAATTGCAATTGCCAATTATTAAAATTTAAACGATTTTTTTTTATGATCTTGAATATTAGTCAAAAGTCTAAAATGTGTAAATTCAATCAGTCTGTCAACACAGCGAATCTGGTTTGGCCAATCCTCGTACAAAATAAGGTTGACATCCATTCTCTTGTGTATTACACTCGGCGTCACAAAAATCGCACCTCTTTAAATTTCTACTTCAAACTATTTTTAAATCCGTTTAACCAATGGTAAGTCTATGAGTATGTTATATCATTGGAAAGGTAATTAAATTTACTCATTAGAAAAAATAATTAATGGTTATCATGTGTTTTTACCGGGAAATAAAAAAAGTTATTGTCCAAAAGAAGAAAATTACGATTTATTGCAACTTACAAAATTAAATAAAAACATGTTTTAAAACGGCCTAAAACCAAGCGGTACCGCCCCTTGCCTTAATTACTGCTTCCATACGGTCTTTCATTGATCTAATCAACGTAAATGCGTTCTTGAGGAATGTTGTCCCATTCCTCAATGACAGCCTCCTCGAGGTCTTGTAGTGTGGTTGCGGCAGGAGCACAAGTCCGTACTCGCTGCTTTACATCATTCCAGAGGTGCTCTATCGAGTTCATGTCTGGACTTTGCGCCGACCACCGCATAACAGAAATCCCGACCTCTGGAAGGTAATCATGTACAATTAATGCAGTGTGACAGCGGGCGTTGTCATGCATTAATGTCAATCCATCGCCAACAAAACCCGCTTATGGGACCACATGCTCTTCTAGAATTTCCATTATGTATCGGTGAGTAGTCAGTAACCCTTGACCACGAGCACCTCCATTCCGGGAAACGCAGACAAGGCTGGTTTTGGCGTCGACTGACATGCCACCCAAGAACATGCATGAGCCACTCTTAAATCCAACTGTTTCTTCAATACAGGCTTGTGCAAATCGTTCCCTTTGCCTTCTGTATACTCTCCTGTGTTTATTATTGCAGAAAAGACATACTCTCGTCTCATCCGAAAAAAGTACTGTTAAAAAGCCTGCAAATTGCAATCGATCTCTGTGATGCTGTGCGGTTAATTTTGGACCACTTGCAGGCCTCTATACGCTGCAATTTTCTTTTCTCTTAACCGTCTTCTGATCGTAGAGACGCTTACAGATGTTCTGCGAGCTGATTGTAGCTGCTGTTGCAGTTCTAAAGCATTCGAGAATCTATTGCGTAGAGATGTCGATAAAATGAATCGATCGTCTCTTTGAGATGTGCAGCACTGTTCGTCCAGATCCACGCCTCCGAATATAGCCACGTGTCCTGAAACCGTTAGGATACTCGTCGAACGGAAAAACGGGATAAATTTAGTTGCCGAGCGACATCACACTGTCGCATCCATGACTGCGGCATCGCAATCACTTGAACGGTTTCACCAGCAGTGTTATCCATATTGTAGGGTTTTTAGCTTGCTTCAGAAGTTAACGTGTATCCTCTTGAACGTTTTAAAAGCGAGACTCCCATTTTAACTGTACCGGCCCTTTTATAGCACATAACGCACCGCAACTTTTTTCAACGTCTCGTACTCAGGAAATTTCTTAGGTTTATGAAACAAAAAGGTTGTTAATTTAAAGGTTAATAAACGCACTTTCAGTAGATACCAATATTGACTTGATTAGACATAAACACTGGGAACCAGATACTCAAGTAAAAATTTTTCGGGAGGTGCGATTTTTGTGACGCCGAGTGTATAGTATTCTATGAGTTAATACCATCCTCTCACAAGTATTCATGTTTTAAGGGTAATAAAGAGCCAGCTTTTAAGAAAATATATCCTCCTTCCTATGGGGAGGAATATATCAGAAATAAATTCACAGAAAAAGAATTTTTGAGATTTTTTACTTGCATGATGCTCACCTAATTGTGATTAGCGTCGTCCATGTACAAATGAAACACTACAGAAATTGCAGGTGCCGGTCTTTTAAAATGGAGAAGGATTTTTTATTAAAGGTCTCTTAATCATATACATCCAGTAAAACGGCTGTTGACAGCGAATTTCACAATGTGGTCTTGTGAGGTAGGAATTCCTAAAATTGAAATTGGTGGTGGACACCCATCCCATCCAGATAGTGTAGATAATGTTCTCAAAGCGTGTGATGGTGAAAACTGGGAATTTTATTTTAAAGCATTTAAAATACAAAAAAATATATACTATAGTCTACCAAATCTAAGAAATACATTTTGACAGCTGTCAGACTTATTGCACCAAGCATGCCAACCAAAAAATCGGAACGTACAATATTCGATTTTTAAAAAAATTGATATCGATTATTTAGAGTTGGTAATCATTTACAGTTTGGTTTGAATACCAGAATAAATTAAAAACGGACAATTTATAACACAAGATTTATCAGTTTCTTCGTATTTGTTGTAACTGCTTATTTCTAGAGGTACAGTTATAAAAATTTAAGATTGAAACTAGATTAAAAATAAATTTATTCAATCACTTTCAGTACATCTAGTAGGTATGTCGCTGTTTATATTAATTATTATTTGATAATGGTAAAATTAATGTCTCTTTCAAGACATCCATAATCATTTTTTGTTTTGCCTACCACTTTTGCCCTGTCATCCTTTGTGACATGGGCACCTGCTTCAACGAATTTTTTTTATAGCATTGGGTGACAAACGAGCACACGGTCCACCTGATGGTAAGTGGATGCTATGGCCCATCATCATCATTACAGCCCTTCACAAGTCCACTGCTGAACATAGGCCTCCCCCAAGTAATGCCACAAAGCACGGACCGTGCTGAGCCACCTGCATCCATCAACTTCTTGCATGTCTTACCAGGTCGTCACTCCATCTAATGGGGGGTCGCCCTACACTACGCCTACCGGTACGGTGCTGCCACTCGAGAACCTTTCTTCCCGGTTCGGTTCTTCGAGCTATATGGCCGGCCCATTGCCACTTCAGCTTACTAATCCGTTGGGCTGTGTCGGTCACTCTGGTTTTACTGCGGATATCCTCATTTCTGAATCTATCACGCAGAGGAATTTCGAGCATAGCCCTCTCCGTAGCTCGCTGAGTGACCTTGAGCGTCCACATACGGCCAGCAGTGAAGGACCACGTCTCAGATCCGTAAGTCATCACTGGCAACAGGCACTGGTTGTACAATCTAATTTTCAGAGTTTGAGGTATACCTGACGAGAAGATGTGTCGTAATTTCCCGAACGCTGCCCAGCCGAGTTGAATCCGTCGATTGACCTCTCGGTCGAAGTTGGACTTACCTAGTCGGACTATTTGTCCCAGGTAAACGTACTCGTAAACAACTTCGAGCATAGTGCTCCCAACAACTACCGGCATAGGTGTGACATGGACATTAAATATGATCTTTGTTTTGTCCATGTTCATCTTAAGACCCATATGGTATGGCCCATAGACATACACATTTATCCTCAATTAAGAATCGAAATGTAAATGCGTTGTCACCCCTGAGGACTAAGATGGAATGCCTCGATTCATGTAAAAAGGGTGTCCAGTTCTTTACACTCACCATATGAAACACATCAGCATTGGGCTGCTACTTTACGTTGGTATTCTGTGAGAGCGTGGCCCGGCCCTGGTTGAGCCGACCCATTCGTGCTACAACTATAATATAGATGTAGCGTGGCTCTGCTACGTACAAAAAGTTATTATAGAAGAAACAGTCCAAAAAGTTAAAGCCGAGTCACAAAATAAGAAGAAAAATACAAAATTACGCACAATAAGCTCTCGAAACAGAAACTTTTTTATTCAATGTAGATTATGAAGAATACTTATTGAAAGTCACTTTTTTAATTTACCACTGGTTCGCAAAAAAAACCTCTGTCCTGAGAAGAACCAGCAAGAAACCCAACGGGACTAATTTAAAAGAGCTTGCAATCATGCGTGTTACAATTAACAACACAAAACAAATTAGAAATAGCTTGGTAGCGATCACCCTTCAGTATCATCATAATTTT